CAGCTGAAGGCCAAGCACAGCCGCCAGCAACTCCAGCCGGGGGATACTTTGTGTTCTTGTCGGCGCCACTCTGCTCTTGGCTCCAGCGAGACGAACGTTTCCCTCAGAGCCACGCTGCACGGTGGAGCTGTAGACCACGGCACCATACACCACACTCGACGCATCACAGAAAACATGCAGCGTCACTCCACTGGCCACGTCCGGGATGAGACATCTTGGTACTCGAACTAAACTGAGCTTCGCCAGGTCATTGAACCACTGGCGAGCGCTGGTGTCGATGCCATCTGGAACTGGTTCATCCCAGTCAATACCAGCTACCCAACTCTCTTGCATGAGGATCTTGGCTTGGGTCACGAACGGTGCCAGAAACCCCAACGGGTCGAATACGGACGCGACTTTTGCTAGGAGGAATCGCTTGGTGATGCGTTGGTTGGTGAGGTCTGGCGGTTGAACGCTGAAGAAGAAGCAGTCTGCCTGACCGTCCCATGACACTCCTAGCGTCTTCACGGATGGTAGCTCTCCTTGGGATAAGTCCAGCTGGGTAGCGCGAGCCTCGGCTGGAATTACCTTCAGGAGCTCGGGCGAGTTGGACACCCACTTGCGCGGCGTCATCTTGGCCTCACCCCACAGATCCATTAGCTCCCGATGAAGAATCTGACCTTGTTCGACATCTTTGGTGCTGTCCATCGTGTCATCCATGTAGGTGGACGCGAGGATAGCTTCTGCTGCCAGGGGATGCGACGCCAAATGTTCCCGGGCTGTCTGCTGAGCAACGTACTGGGCGATGAATGGTGCAGCACTGACGCCAAAGACCAGGCGGTTGAACTCAAAGTGCCGTAAAGGCTTGGCTGGATCCAGGTCCCGCCACACGAATCTGAGGTACTTCCTGTCTGCTGGCGCAACCGACACCTGCAAATACATTTCGGTCACGTCACAGCCCACTGCTATAGGCTTTTGCCGAAACCTGGTCAACACATCGAACAACTCACATTGGAGCTTCGGACCAGGGTAGATGGCGTCGTTGAGGCTGAGGCCATGACAGGATGCTGCAGCGTCAAAGACGATCCGCACCTTGGTTGTCGTCTTCTGCGGTCGGACGATGGGAAAGTGGGATAAGTACCAGCATACCTCTTGACCTAGCTCTTCCTTCGCGAGCTCCCGGATATAGCCGTTCCTCTGGTAGGCCTGGAAGACTTGGCCATAAGCCTGGGCAACGAATGGGTCTTTCAGGAGCTTGCGCTCGGTGTGGCCTAGACGTTTCGTAGCCGCACCCAAGTTGTTGCATAATTCTCTCTTGCGATTGTTCCACGGCAGAGACACCTGGTACCGACCGTCCACCTTCTTCAGCGAGTGTTTGACGATGTCTAGGGCTGTCTCTTCCTCCAGCGAGCGCGGGCCGGGCTCACTGAAGCTCTCCTCCGTGCCGCAGCTGTCAATTTGCCAGAACTGCTGTAGCGCGGTCTCAAAGCCGGTTGGTGTTGCTCTCTCCTCACTCTGAAACGCTTGGCTGTGGAACGTCCTTTGACTCGAGTGGGTTCCCGTCACTCTGCCAACACAGGTCCAACCCAGTGGAGTATGACGCGCCACTGGTTGACCAGGCGGGCCGACCACTTCCTGCTGTGACACAAGCAGCTCAGCATAGTCGCTCCCAATCAGCAGATCGACCCTGGCGGGCTCCGCCAGTCTTGCGAACGGAATCTCTCTCAGGTGAGGATACTTGACTGCTTCCTTGACCCACTCTACCGGACGAAGATTCCCGGTGACCGAATCAGCCGTCAGCGCCGTCATAGATTGCCGAACACTGCCATCCATGCTGCCAATGGTGAAGCTTACCGGTCTGGTTGTGAATGAGGTCTGCTTGCCATTCAAGGTGTGGACTGTGAATGTCCTCAGCTCCCCGCTGACGCCGAGCTGGTTGGCAATGCTGCCGTTGAGGTAGCTCGTCGTGCTACCGTCGTCCAGCAACGCATTCACTTGCACTGACTTGTGGCCGTTCTCCAAGACGACTGAGACCGTTCGCAGAGCTATCTTGCTCGGGCCTTGGACCATCATGGTGGAATCACTCTTCGTGGACTCCGTCTCCCCCTCGGTGAACGACTGTGGGGTGCGCTGCTCTTGGTCTTTACCGGCGTATGGCGGCGTTACTAAACAGTCGATGGCGGGAGGCAATAACTGGTCTCCTGTCTCCTGACCTGAACCATTGTCTCCATAGTTGCAGAATTGTTCGGCAGGACTGAGTTGGGACTTGTCCGCCGTCATTCCTCCAGCTGCCGTGTTCCCCGATTTTTTCTTGTTTGACTGTGCGGCATCGGGGTTCCTGCTGTCCTCGTGTAGCAAGTCCCGGTGTAGCAAGTAGTGGTGATTGTTGTTGCAGCCGCTCACTGAGCAGGGTCTGGTTCGTGGACAGTGGTGACCTTGGTGATCGCCTCCAAGGCAGCGGTAGCACAGACCATGCTGTTTAGCCTGTCTCCAGCGATTGGCGACGGAAAGCTGCTGAAATGCTTTACACTGCCAGACACCGTGAGGTCCGCCACATTGCGGACATGAAGATCGTCCAGCCGCTGAGCCCGCAGGCCTTGACCACCCTGCATTCTGCGAAGCCTTTCCCCCGAAGTAGGATCGTTGAGGAGCATTTCGGGGTGCCGGAGGCTTGTCCTTTGCACCAACTCCATCTAGTGCTTCGGACGCTCCAACGGCAAACTCCGCTTCCAACGTCACCCACTCCAGTAGTGCTTGAATTCCTGGCTGGCAGGGCTTCTGATGACACCATCGATTGAATTGGGTTAACATCCCAGCCGGCAACTTGGCCAGGAGCTTCCGGTACAACAGCCCATCACCCAGCTCATTGCCTTTTCCGGAGTCGAGGAGGTTGACCACGAGTACGTCGAGGAGATCTGCGAACTTCTGGAGATCTCCTGCTCGGCCGGAACGAATGATTGGGCAGGCCTCGACTTGCTCGTACTGCAGCGACAGCTGTCGTTGGTCGCCTCCAAACTTGCGGTCTAACCGCCTCATTGCGGCCTCATACGCAGACGGGGTGTATCCCAAGCTCTCGATGGAAGCCAAGGCATCTCCACTCAAATACTGCCGGAGGTGCAGCAGTTTCAAGTCTGCCCTTGCAGACGAGCTACCAACACACGCCATGAAAGCAGCCTTCCATGAGGCATACGCCTGCTTATCGCCGCCGAAGACTGGGATCTGTATAGCCTTCAGTTGCTTGAAAATTTCATCTGATGGCTGCTTGACAGGTGGAGGCTGAGACACAGCACGCTGGTGGCTGGCGGACACACCTGCTCCTGGCAATGCTGAAAAGGCACCAATGCCCATGGCCTGATGACTTGAGGCTACCTGTGGTGGCCCACTGGCCTGGGTGTACAGATAGTTGGCGGACTGATATGGCAGAGATGATGTAGGGTGTAGTCCTGACACAGGAGCCTTAGTACTACTGCCCTGCTGGCCTGGACTCTTCGCGACTTGAAGTTGAGGGGCCTTGGTCTCACTCACTCTAGTATATGCACTGGACACACATACAGCACTCCGTGTTGGCACAGCAGGCTGTAGTACAGGCAAGGCAGGGCTTCTTTCACGCTCTGACCTCCTACTCCCAGCTTCCATTGGTGGCCTTGTTCTAGCCCCAAGCTCTGCCTCTCTGTTACTACTGCCGGAGACACTTGTGGTCACAACCACTTCATCACTGTCTTCTACTCTTGCCTGGTTCTCCTGAACCAGCGCCACGCCATCACCAGGCTCATCCCGATCCTGGGAGCCTTCACTTCTGCCCAGCGATATCACACTCAGTGGACTTCCTGGCTCTTCCACTGGTGCCTGGGCATACTGATGATACGCTGGCCTGTCTGGGTGGCTGTTCCGTGCAGCCGTCCACGCTGGCTGGTGTTCTAGGAACTCCTGATACAGCCTTGTGACCTCCTTCATCTCTTTCTCCGCTTCCTCCATCTCATCGGTCACTTTAGCCACTGCGAGCGCATCGTTCATGCCGCCAGCCCACTCGAGTACGTCCATGAACACACCGTTCAGGGCATCCTCGATCATTTCTAATTCGCCAAACAACGACCTCGCAGCTTCCTCTTCAACTCCGTCACGCAAGGCCACGATCACGGCTCTGCGACACCTGGTGAACTTTCTCTTGCGATTCGCTTTTTCAGCTTTCATTTTCACGAACATCAGTTCATTCGATCGCTGGTCACTTTGACCATGTTCGTCCTCTTCGACTTCCTCGTCCTCCTCGATCACGTCGCCTGCCCTCTCTGCCATGGCACCTGAAAAGAGCTCAGTTCTCTGACTGCTAGCCCTGATTGTGCTCTCACTCTCAGGCTCCGGCGACGACATGATCTGAATAATTTAAATTTCCGAAACTGAACTGCTCACTCAGGCGATAACCATCCTCTGCTACCAGAATGTTCACACGAAGGAACACGTTATCTTATCTTTTCACTCCAAATACAATTACACCTGAAAGAGCAGCCTAGCTAGCTACACAACGCGAACCAAGGAACTACTAAAACCGAAAACATTCCATGTCGGTACACAACCGAAGACAAAAGGCAAAGATGAAGTAATTAATTTATGCCGCACTGTCAGCTGGCAAAACAGCAGAGGCGTAGCCACCGCACACTCGCTGTTGTACGGCACGAAAGCTAGCCATGATACTATGCAATACAAATGTATGACCATGCACAGCAACAAGCAACAACACACAGCTAAGAAGTAGATGCATGTAATACATGAACGGCCAGTTGGAAATAGTTATGATGCCACTTTGTAGATCGCCCCCATGAATAGAAAACCACAAGAGAGACAGGGAAGACTACAGCCTACAGTGTAGCTCAGGCCTTGATACATGAATCACTATTGCAGTATTGGCACAAGACAGAGAAAGGACTGCTCCAGCTATCAATAATAAAAGGAACCATTACTTCTAGTCTTAGTGATGCCATGCCAGAGAAATATTACGTACTACCGTCTGAACAACAAGTACTTACAAATAATTTTGAAACAAACGGCGCATCCTGCCGACGGCAGCCCCAGACCTTCATACATCATCATCTGTAAAACCAAGCATGAGTGCACACAAACACTATTAGTGTCACGAATACGAAAGCAGGGTAAGACAAGAGGATACGAAACAAGTAAGTATCGCTATAACGAGGGGGTAAGTATACATGTAAACAGAGCAGTGCTTACTTACAGGGTCCTAATACGCTCTACGGCGTCCCGGTAGTCGGACTGCAACAGCAGTCCGACTTGCCGACCCTCCCAGTAACGGGCTAGATGGGCCGTACCCGTGAGGTGGGCGGCCACGGCTGTGGCTCCCACCAGCCTTTCTCCACTGTAAAAACGAAAGAAACCGCAGAAAGCACAGTGTCATAGAGCTCTTTTGTTGGGGGAGAGAGCTAGGAGCACTGCACACTTACCATTTATCGCAATATATGATTAGAAAGAGGCGGCGCTTGACGCACCGCCTCAGATGCCGGAACAGGGGTATTACCCCTGTCAGTCGGAAACCGCAGTGGCACGTGAACGTCATTTGGGCTGTTTTCAGGATAATGATACTGAAATGAAGGTGTGAACCGCAAAGCAAGACCTTTACCTTCTTCCTGTCGAATTCGCTCCCCAGCTGCATACCGACATCATCCGCTAAAACCCAATCATACCAAGTAACGCAAAGGTCATCAGTTGACCTTTTGGACTTTTCAACTCTTATCCAAAACCACCAAGAGGAAAAAACCAGGATGAAGAAGACGTCAGTTGTAGAAGCGTTTGTGGAGGAGTTGTTACATTATTCTCAGTAAATAGATATGGCTGATACATTCGGTGTAGACTTGGACGACCGGTCGTGGTCTCTCACCACCGATCCTTTACTAATAGAAAGGCGGACGCCAATAAGAACTGTTGTGGAGTTGGCAGATCAAAACGCGCAGCAAGAAATTTGGCACGTCGATGGTAGACTCCATCGGGAGGACGGACCAGCTCTTGTTGATAGTAGGGGAGTGTCCGCCTGGTGCTATGGAGGTCGCCTTCATCGCGTTAATGAACCTGCTTGGATAGGACGGGGTAGCATCGAGTACTACCTCAACGGTGCCTAGAGCCGGCGGTCCTGCAGTCAGTTATTGTGACGCCACATGCTGTATTCTACGGTGCTATCACCAGGGAAGGCTCCACAGGGTGAATGCGCCAGCGGTGATACGCAGGGAAGCTAACAATCGTGTACGGGAGTGGTGCCGATACAACCTTCGGCATAGGGAAGATGGACCTGCTTTCACCTCTCACGAGGAGGAGGGTATCTATCAGTGGTACCTCAATGGGGTGTATTACGGTGACCACCATCAAGACCAGGCAATACACCCCATGGAGCTGCAGTACATCAATGTAGTGCCTACCAACAACAACCGACAACAACAACCAACAACAGCCAACAACAACCAACAACAACCAACAACAACCAACAACAACCAACAACAACCGACAACAACCGACAACAACCGACAACAACAACCAACAACAACCGACAACATCCGGCAACAACCAACAACAACCAACAACAACCAACAACAACACCCAACAACCGACAACAACAACACCCAACAACCAACAACAACACCCAACAACCGACAACAACACCCAACAACCGACAACAATCAACAACAACCAACAACAACACTCAACAACAACCAACAACAACCAACAACAACCAACAACAACCAACAACAACCGACAACAACCGACAACAACCGACAACAACAACCAACAACAACCAACAACAACCGACAACATCCGGCAACAACCAACAACAACCAACAACAACCAACAACAACACCCAACAACCGACAACAACAACACCCAACAGCCAACAACAACACCCAACAACCGACAACAACACCCAACAACCGACAACAATCAACAACAACCAACAACAACACTCAACAACAACCAACAACAACCAACAACAACCGACAACAACCGACAACAACCGACAACAACCGACAATAACCAACAACAACCAACAGCAAACGACAACAACCGACAACAACCGACAGCAACAGCCAACAACAACATCAACAACGACGACGATAACGACGACAACAACCAACAACAACATCAACAACGACGACGATAGCGACGACAACCACAACAGTGTCCGGTAATGTGTGGTAGAGAATGGCAGTCAGCCAGACTGTGTACAATTGAACATGTATAATAATAATAATAACACATTTCGCGTAGTTGAGCACTAAATAAAGAAATTCAGTGGTTTTCCCACTTCTGTCTTGTGAGCATCATCAGCAAGGTGTAGTAGCTGTTGATACTGATTTGTCCTCGAGTGTCGAGCTGCACAGTTTCTTCCAGTCTGTCTTGTCCTCTGTTTGTTGCCGGCACCTGGAAAGGGCTTCCATGGTCTTCATGGGCACACCCAGCTTATTCAACTGAGCGACCAGACTTGTGGCTAGTGTCAACCTTGGCCGCCCACGAGGTGCTTTGTTGCCCTTGCTCAAATAGCCGCTCATGGCTACTTAGGGTGGCGTGTTCGTGTCCATCTGTAGCACATGACTGGTCATTCGTAGTCGCCTACATGCAACTGTGTCATGTATTACTACAAGAACTCAACCAAGTCCTCAGCAGTCATGGAGTAGCGGCAGGTTGGGCAAGTAGGGCTTGGGGGCAGAACTGATCCACTCCTTGATACAGTGGAAGTGAAATTCATGACCGCGCTCCAACTTGGATAGAGGACGGTCCAGGGTATCCTGACAAATCACACAGATGGGCTCATGACTTATTGCTGACGAGTCTACCTTAGTAGGCACTACATTGATGTACTGCAGCTCCATGGGGTGTATTGCCTGGTCTTGATGGTGGTCACCGTAATACACCCCATTGAGGTACCACTGATAGATACCCTCCTCCTCGTGAGAGGTGAAAGCAGGTCCATCTTCCCTATGCCGAAGGTTGTATCGGCACCACTCCCGTACACGATTGTTAGCTTCCCTGCGTATCACCGCTGGCACATTCACCCTGTGGAGCCTTCCCTGGTGATAGCACCGTAGAATACAGCATGTGGCGTCACAATAACTGACTGCAGGACCGCCGGCTCTAGGCACCGTTGAGGTAGTACTCGATGCTACCCCGTCCTATCCAAGCAGGTTCATTAACGCGATGAAGGCGACCTCCATAGCACCAGGCGGACACTCCCCTACTATCAACAAGAGCTGGTCCGTCCTCCCGATGGAGTCTACCATCGACGTGCCAAATTTCTTGCTGCGCGTTTTGATCTGCCAACTCCACAACAGTTCTTATTGGCGTCCGCCTTTCTATTAGTAAAGGATCGGTGGTGAGAGACCACGACCGGTCGTCCAAGTCTACACCGAATGTATCAGCCATATCTATTTACTGAGAATAATGTAACAACTCCTCCACAAACGCTTCTACAACTGACGTCTTCTTCATCCTGGTTTTTTCCTCTTGGTGGTTTTGGATAAGAGTTGAAAAGTCCAAAAGGTCAACTGATGACCTTTGCGTTACTTGGTATGATTGGGTTTTAGCGGATGATGTCGGTATGCAGCTGGGGAGCGAATTCGACAGGAAGAAGGTAAAGGTCTTGCTTTGCGGTTCACACCTTCACTTCAGTATCATTATCCTGAAAACAGCCCAAATGACGTTCACGTGCCACTGCGGTTTCCGACTGACAGGGGTAATACCCCTGTTCCGGCATCTGAGGCGGTGCGTCAAGCGCCGCCTCTTTCTAATCATATATTGCGATAAATGGTAAGTGTGCAGTGCTCCTAGCTCTCTCCCCCAACAAAAGAGCTCTATGACACTGTGCTTTCTGCGGTTTCTTTCGTTTTTACAGTGGAGAAAGGCTGGTGGGAGCCACAGCCGTGGCCGCCCACCTCACGGGTACGGCCCATCTAGCCCGTTACTGGGAGGGTCGGCAAGTCGGACTGCTGTTGCAGTCCGACTACCGGGACGCCGTAGAGCGTATTAGGACCCTGTAAGTAAGCACTGCTCTGTTTACATGTATACTTACCCCCTCGGTATAGCGATACTTACTTGTTTCGTATCCTCTTGTCTTACCCTGCTTTCGTATTCGTGACACTAATAGTGTTTGTGTGCACTCATGCTTGGTTTTACAGATGATGATGTATGAAGGTCTGGGGCTGCCGTCGGCAGGATGCGCCGTTTGTTTCAAAATTATTTGTAAGTACTTGCTTGTAACAGGCGTAGTGTAGTAACTGTGTGTGCAGTGTAGTAACTGTGTGTGCAGTGTAGTAACAGTGTGTAGTGTTTTGTGATGGTACTGTGCTATAGCAGTGAGTCGTAATGTGTTTTGTGATGGTCCTGAGCAGTCGTAATGTGTTGGGCTACTGAAGTACACTGCATGAAGGGGTATGTGTGGGTGCTTCGACATATTCTCGTGCTTCCTAAACCCTAGATACGTGTATAGCACTATAACCTAGATGTGTGTGTGCGTGTGTGCGTGTGCGTGCATTGTGTTCTCTTCTACAGACTCATCCAAGTCAATTTAAATAAAAGTGTATTATAGTAAACAGTATTGTGTTTTGTTACGGTGAATATGTGGGGAATGGTGGACATGCCTTAGTGTGACTGGATACCCGCGGGTTGTGACTCTTTGCTGGCCACTCTGGATTCTCCAGCATAGATTCGGTACAGTGCAGAGGGGATTTGTGGTGCGTAGCAACACTGCTTCACTGTGACACCCCTTCAATAATTGTTTTGATGCATGACACCCCGGGCGTAGCCGGTTGATTCTAACTGAATTCCGATCAAAATAGAAATATGCATCTAATGTACCTGCATGGATAGTAGGCATTTCCCTAATCGGCCGGGCGAAAAATTCGCCGAAAAAAGTGGTTTTGAAGAAATTACCCATCTTTTCGCCGAATGTTCAAAAATTCGCATGTTGAATTCGCCGAAAATCGATGTTTCAGTGCTTCAACAGAGTGTATGTAAATGTACATGACGTATTGGGAACGGTGACTTCAAGTACTATGTTGAGCCGAATTCTGATCTTGGGGCTCATAATATGGCCGAATTTGAACATTGTCTTAACCGATCGAAAAGCCGATTAGGCATGCTCTGCATGGGCAACTTGTCAGTGCACATCTACGATGTGCAAATAAAACGAATGCACGGAACGTGAACTTTGTTTGCTGCAAATCTACGAGGTGCGAATCAGGGAGTAGTATAATGACACGTGTACTAGTACACCTTGTGTTTTTCGATTTTGACAGCATGTTGTCTTGCGACCATTTGAACCGTATTGGGAAAACCCAGGTTCGGACCCTCGTAGGATCCTACCAACCCGTAGAGTAACGAGGGTCCGAACCTGGGTTTTCCCAATACGGTTCAAATGGTCGCAAGACCGGGACTCTGCCAACCGGTTTATGGTTGTAGTCAGGAGCACTACGCGTCCTCGCCTTGTAACATGCTGTCAAAATCGAAAAACATGTTAAACTACCAAGCAAGGCTTCTGTATATACTACACCTTGTGTTGCACTGCGTCTTTTCCACACGCAGGG